CAAGATGGATTTTACTGGCTGAAGCTAATTGGCAGAATAAGCCGACTTAAAGCCGATTAAATCCCATTACAAATGCAGTCTAGGACTGAGAGTATGACTCCTGATCCTAATAGGCTGGTGTGTGATCTTCCAGAATGCCCAAACCGGGAACATGAACCCCAGTGCATTCACACTAGTGCGTGGAGATTTGGAAGCCCCCGTGCAATTGCACTACTGTGCACATCCTAGTGAACAGTGAGGCTGGAGGTATGAACTCTGGCACTGCTAGGGTGTCCCGCAGTGCTTTCTAATGGGTGAAATTCCTTACGCCAGTGTACTGGTCTGTGGATCTTCCTGTACTCTGAGGCTGTGAATGTGGACCCTGGTAGTCCTGCTGTCTGGCCGGGGCATCTCCAGCGACTGAGCACTGCAACTGGAGGTTGCAAGGTGGCAGAGTTGTCTGGAGCTTTTAATTCCATCACACCTCTAAGGGGGAAGCCTCTGCCCCCACTGACTTCCTCCCCCCGCCCCCAACAGCTGTCTATCCACCACAGCGCCTCTTTATCCCACCCCAAAGAGACTCGCGGGTCTCCAGCCCGCCCGGTCCCACTCCCGAAGAGCTCTTAGCTTAGAGCTGGCGTTTGTGGGGTCCAGGGCCCTGAGCTGTGTGCATCCAGGGCCTGTCTGTAGTGGAGATCAGAGCTGGTTGCAGTTAAGGGACTTCTGCCTCTCCTGAAGGGCTGCTTAGGTTGCCTGGCATTTGAGGTGCCCACCCACGATGCCGCCTCTGAGCACGTGGCCCTGAGCGAGGTCCTCGTCTCGGGGGGTCCCCCACTGGCGGAAGGTCAGAGCCCACCAAGAGCTCACCTGGCTCCATTCAAGATGCTGCTCTGCCCATCCCTTTAACTTGGGGGAGTCCGCCATTATGGGAGGGGTTTCTAGAGCCATGCCACTGGGCAGCCCAGCCCTGAGGTAATATCATGCAGAGGGTCCTGATTCAAGGAGCTCCCTCTGATTTGGGCCTACACTGGCCTGGCCGCTTATTTCCTCCTCTCTGCCCGTGTCTGGATGTCCAGAGATGTTTATCCTGCCGAGCACAGGCATTCGGGGGCACTGTTCCGTGGGGCAGAAAGGAGAACTCGGTGCCTGGTATTTTAATGAGATGGGAAGCCTCCACACAGATCCCTCAAGAGGTAAATATGCAACAGTGCAGGACAATCATCACCCATGGACTCTAGGGCTATGTCTACATTGCGAGATTTTTTTAGCAGAAAATATGCTAATGAGGGATTCATTAGCATAAGTCGTGACATCATTAGCATATTTTCTTCCGGGGTTTTTTTTGCCCAAAGGGTTTGTGACGGACCGGGCTGTGTCTGGGCACGGCTGAGGGCATCTGCTCAGGGCGAATTGCTCAAATCCGGGGCTCCTTACAGCCCCCAGACTGGTGACCTCTCCAAACAGGCCAC